CTGTGGCCCAGGGGAGGGGGTGTCAGTACCGCTAAGGGGTGTGTGTGACCATGGGGAGGGGGTGTAAGTGGCCCTGAGAGGTACATGGCCCCGGAGGGTGGCTCTCAGGAGCAGGTATGTGGCCTCAGTGAGGGTGTGAGCTGCCCTGAGGAAGGGGCCTACATGGCCCCAGGGAGGGAAGCTCCGGGGTGTGGATGGCCATAGGGAGGTGGGGATGTTCTGCTTATCATAGGGAAAGTGAGGGGAGATGTCCCAGAGAAGGGAGGCCTGTGTGCCCCTTGAGAGTTGGGGTGCCTGTGGCCCTGCCACGGGGAACTGGAGGTGTGTGCTGGGTCGAGGGTTTCTGTGGGGAAGTGGTTTGAAGGGGCTTTCTGCCTTGGTTGTTCTACTACTTGCAGCTGAGCAAGCCTATTAATGTGTCTCCTCTGCCCTGCAGGTGCTGGAGCAACTGCAGCCTGGGGCATTGGGTGCTATGCTGGTAGCTGAATTGAAATCAGAAAAGGGCGTGGAGAAGAAATACATAATAAAGCAGGTGAGAAGGTGGTTTTTAGGAAGGCAAGAGTCCATTGGCATGTTTATAATTTCCATGGGCCCTTCAGATAGTAGACAAACTGTTAGGCAGCTTGGCTGCTGGGTCAGATAGGCTTACACCTTACTGTGCTGCTGTTTTGGAAATCAGAAGATTCAGATCAGTTTACCAGAGTATTGAGGTTAGAAGTGGGGAAAAGGCAGCAGCCTATTTAGGTCCATCTTCAACAGTGCAGGAGAAGAACTGGCTAGCTGTTGCAGACTCATCTAAAGCTCTGTTTCTTGCTGTCTCCCAACAATAAAACTGCTCTAAACTTACTAATTGGAGCTATCATTAAAAATTTATGCCAATTCAAACAGAATTTGCAGTTCCAGTCTTCTTGGCAAGATTGTTCTGGCTTAACGTTTGTTTGTCTCCACATTACAATCTCATCTGTGTGTTCTGTTTGGTGCAGGTTGAATGCATTGAAGAAAAGCAAGCAAATGAGGCCTTGAAGGAGGTATCAGTTTTTCTTTATTGCTTCACTAACAAAGGCCAAAGTCTTTATAGAACAAAGTCTTTTATCTACAAGGATTAACTAATTAAATAGTGAAGATGTAAATCAGGTAGGACTATCTGAGGGGTGTTCTCACTGCCCTCTGCTTGAGCTCAGACCAGGATTTTGTATTAATTGTTCTTATATTTGAATATGTAGATTCAAATGGACAGCTGTTCTCAAGATGATAGTCCTTTTTTCAGAGTTTGTATTTGCTTTGTGCTGAAGACAAAGAGCAAAGCTCATCCTTTTGGCCTTTAAGATGAAGGAGAATCTTGGTCTATTTACTATTAATAACTCAATTTCTCGGTAACATTTAATTATATGTTCATTTCTCACAGCTGGACACTTTGATGTGAATGATTTGGCTGGTTTTCTTCCTTTGTTGTATATTTTTTGTGCAAACCTGTTTCAGTGCCTCAAGTAAGAAGCAACATCAGAGATACTATTAAAATACTCAAATATATTTCGACAAAATGTGAAGTACCACATGATGGATTAGTCTCACAGTGTCCGAGCAGTTTTATATGAGTGACAACACATGTCTGTACAGATGCTTCATCTTACTCAAGAGAGGTGACCCCTTTATGTACTGAGACTGGCTTTACTGATAAAAATTTGATCCAATTTTTCTGCTGATGTACACGTCTCTTGAAATAAATACAGTTGTGGCAGCTGGGATTGTGGCTCTTCTTAGTTTTTCTGTTTTGTCTGCACAACCATGAACACAACTATAGGAGAACAAGTTGGATTCTTTTTACATTTCCCATCAGCAGCAAATTTGCTGAAGTAATTGGTAATTGTTAGAGCCCTACACAGAAACCAGCTTCAAGGAGATGAACATCTCACTAGTGTCATCATATTTTCTGAGGTTTAAGCTTGTATAGGGGTTACTGGAAATAATGGCTATGATAGAAAAATCATCTTGAGTTTCATATTCTAAGATGTGTTTTCATGTTTGGAACTGAAGAAGGGGGTTGTTTATGTATCGTCCCTAAGGATCCATTTATATCCTTGAATTTCACAAGGCTGTTACAGCCTTCATGAAATATTTCCCTTAACTTGACACTTGCGCATGCACATATACAACAGAGCTTGCACATTGAAAGAATTTGATCAGACGTGATGTGAACAAGTCAGGAACTGGTTTAGGATGTTTTTTAAGGTCTTGTTAATGGAAAGGTCTGTGTAGCTCTAGAAAGCTCTCTATTTTTTTTTTATTCTGTGCAGGCAAAGGATTTACTAAAACTTCATCATTCAAACATCTGTGCTTACAAGGAATTGTTTGTGACTTGGGATAATGAGGTGAGAATGAAATAGGATTGGTTGAACTGGAACATATGGCTAATGTTGTAGGCCTGTAAGCATTTTTGCAGGTTTTAATTTGGGGTCATTGGTGTGAGATGCTAAAAAGATTATTTGATTGGAAACAAACCTGCTTTTTAAACTCCTGAATACACATGCTGAAAAGCTGTGAAGATACATAGATTGGAGTCCATCACATGGTAGTATTACATGCTGACTCAGATTCTGATGTAAATCAGTGTGCAATACTGATTTTCATGCCTGCATGAAAACCCTTTTATAGGAGACTGGAACCTGAAAGCCCTAAGTTATTTATTTGCAGATTTTATTCAGTGCTTAGGCAAAATTTGTGTTGGTTTTATGGATGTATATTTGACTTGAATTCTCCCTTAGTATTCAGATAAGATGATTGATAATGATTTAAAAAAACACAACAAAAAACCCCCCAAAAACCCCAAAACCAAACATGCTGTATTTTTAATAAAAGAAAGTAAATATTGTCTCCTCTGTGAGAGATTAATCATCTTGGAACACCTTGATATTGGTTAATGTCACACACCAATGTCCAGTTTGGACAAGTGCTCAGTTTTATTTATCTTGCTGGATATGTTATTACCTGCAAACAATTAGACAATTCTGGTGTAATATTTTATTACAGATATCATCTGTGTTCCTTTGTCTGGTGATGCAGCACTTGGGCCATGGAGATCTTTCATCTGTAATCAAGGAAAAAAGGCAGAAGTCAGAAAAAATAACAGACATGGTAAAAAGTTCAGAAGAGACATCTGGTTGAACTGACAGAGACTCACTACTTTTATATTTCTTCCTCTGTGTTCCTTCTTTCTCAGATTCCTCCCCAAAATCTCCAAAGCAGTGTTTTGCTGAAGGGTGGTTTTGGAAGCTATTTTCCAAAAGATATTTGGAAGTACTCTGTTCGTTACACTTGCCTATATATTCCTCTCACCAGGTGATTCTGAAGTTCCTGGGGCAGATGGTGGATGCTTTGTTTTATATACACAAACAAAATATTATACACAGGTGAGTAGAAATCTTATTCTCTTTCTCTGATAGATCATTGTTCTTTGCAGTGACTGTTTTAGCACAGCGGCTCAGAGGCAGTGAATTTTACTGTTCCAAAAGTATGATTTCAGAGATAGGTTAGTTTTCAGTGTCTTCTAAAGTAATCTATTTCTTGAGTTTTGTTTAGAATTATCCATTTGAGGGAGGTATTCTCTCTGCTTTTAAATGTGCTAAAATTCTAATTTTAATTAATTTTAATATTAGAATGTTGACCATATCTGCTAATATTTACATTTTGGTGGCTGTGATGGACAAGGTGGTGTTTGTGTGTGTGTATGTACATACATATATATGTATGCACACACTTTGTGTATCTAAAGAGAGGACTGTTGCCTTCTGTGTTCAGATAAATTTGTGTTACAATAACAGATTTTAAAACATTTCACAGTAAAATAAAATAATTGTATTTCAGTTGATTATCACTTTTATATTTAAAAAAAACCCCAAAACCAAAACACAAACCACTTACCACCACAGCACTTGCTTCCCACCCCCCCAAAAAAAAACCAACACCAAACCCCAAACAAAAAAAGACAACCCACCAAAAAAACCTCCAGAACCCTCTGATGTGTAAAGATGCTGGGAACCTGTAGTTATATATCATTAGCCTCTAATTTCACAGACTGACAGAAAATATTTGTGTTGCAGAAATCTCAAGCCATCAAACATACTTGTGACTGATGAAGCATCCTTCATGCTTAGTGACTTCAGTACAGAAACACTTATGACAGATGAGATGAAATGGAAAATAAGAGTGGAAGAAAGTAGATACTTGTTTTACTGTTTTTAATTTTATTTTTAAAAAGATTCAGTTATGGTGGATACTTTCAGTCCTTGGAAAAAATATCAACCAAAGAGGAAAAAAATATCTTCCTTCCCCCTTCTCCACATTATACTATTTGTCTTCCAAAGTATGAATAGGATATTCATAGGCAGTTCCCTGAAGCATTAATTGTGTTCACAACTGAAAACTATAGATATGTCCAAGTTTCATAATTCTGCAACAGATACAGTTGGAATCCTTTTTAGCTTGATACATATGCAGTACCATCTTAGAAAATTGTTCATTAGTTATAGCATGTTTCTTAGTCTTTTGTGGCATATCACCAGTAAAAAATGGCAAATCTCTGCAGAATAATTCTAAATAATTTTTAGACATCAAACAGTTGCCTGCAGTTCATGCATGTGCAAGTAAAAACTATATATAGTACAATGTCAGCAACATTACCATAGGATTTTTATTTCAACAGATAGCAAGACTTGGATGGCTCCAGAAACATTTGGTTTTTCTTTTACTGAGAAATCTGACATCTGGTCTCTGGGTTGTATTCTGCTTGACATGACGACCTGTTTTGTTCTGAATGTATGTAATAATGTTTCAGTATAGATTTAAAATGTCATAGACCCACTAGGATATCTCTAAACAAGTTTGTGAAAGCTATTCTGATACTCTTCTCTTTACAGGCAGAGGAGATAACTTCATTGCTGCAGGATATTAGACAGGATACCAGACATCTTGAGGAAGCCCTGACACTAATGCCAAGTGGAGATAACAGCTCTTTGCCTCTATTTCCGATTTTATTTATGATGCTACAGATTCAGCCCAGCATGAGACCCACAACAAAGTGAGTTCTGGATGTTTTCCTGTTATTTTTTCTCCTAAGCCCTACCTACCTTCACAAAGATGGGAATGCTAGCTGTTCTTTGAAAGAGATTGAGTCAAAGTTGCTGATCTTACTGCCTTGACAAATTGAGTTATTAAAAAAGTCAAAGACTTGATGTTCTGAGTGGGCATTCTGATATGTGTAGGTGTCTTTTTTTTCAAGACTTTCTTTATAAAATCATATTATACACAATTTTACAAGCTGTTAACTTGAAGCCTAAGCATGGCTTGCTTAATGTAAGCTCTTTCATTAGCTGTTTTGAAATAAATTGTTTAAGTTCTGTCAAAAATAATCCAGTTTTCAAAGAAGTATTATTAGCTTTTTATATCAAAATGAAACTAAGCCTGTAGAATTTTTTTTTTGTAACTTACCAGTTCTAATTTATTGGTACTGCTTTTGTCTCTCTTAACTCTAGGGATCTGACTGATGTTCCATTTATTAGGGAATGCCTGACTCTTGCTGGTGCCTCTTCAGTAAAACTGAAAAAGTCTTTGCCTCCCAAAATAATAGATGTGCTACTTGAGGGAGGAATCGAAAGTGTTCTAGGTAACAAGGAAAATGAGATTAATGTACTGGTGACTTTCACAGGAAATAAACTTGTATGTTTTCCAGTCAGCTTGTATTCTACTTGAAAATGAATTATTGGACATTTGTTTTACTTGAAGTAAAATGGGATGCTATTTGCAGAAAGGATCCCTATGCAGCCTTTTCTATAGCCCTGTGGGATTACCAGCCATACCTACTGCTCAAGTTAAATAAGGTCAGAGATAATTCCTCGAAAATTGGGGAACACCACTTACTTTGCATTCTAACATGTTGCTAATTTATGCTAGCAAACAATCTGCTCTATTTTCCTTTTAAGTAAGAAAGATATTATCTTAATCAGAGAAAAGGCTATAGGAATAATGTATTTAAAGCCCCTATCCTTGCTCTGATTTAATATTCCAACAGTTCCCCAAAATAAATAATGCCAAATACACAGATTATACAGGTGAACCATAGCACTTTAATATTTAAATGCTTGATGCATTAGGGGAGTTTTTTCAACAATTACAAATTACATTATTTTCTCTTATATGCATTTACATCTTACATAAAATAGAGAAAATTTGAGTGCTTCTTGTAAGTGTTTGTATCAAATGGTTAGTAGAATTTTCTTTTGTTATGTAGAATTCATGCAGGCTTTCTGGGATGTAGAAGAAGCACAGGCTAAAGCCATTCAGCTCCTTGCCAGCTTTGTAAGAGACAAAAGTGGTAAGGCACTGTTTTATTAATTTATTTATCCTGCTCTTTCCTTACACTTTGAGATAATAGAAAGAGGAAAAAAAATTCTCATGACAATAAATTGAAGTTGCTCTCTTCCTATTTTCTCATTTTTGTAATATACTGGAATAGGCCACTAGTTGATGTGATTGTGTTGGTACTTGTTTTGTAAATGCTTTTGTTGAACAGCAGAGGTGTTTTACTGGATAAGAAAAATGATTGCTGAAAAAAAATCTATTTTATTTGGCAGATAAGGTAAATTGGCAAATTGACATTTGAGGAAGGTAATTCATATCAGCATGGGGGCAACCTGGGGGGAGTGCATAGGGGTGTAAGGCTCATAGAGTGAAAGGAAGCTACACACCTAGTTTCTGTGTAGTAAAGCTGTGTGAGTGAAGACTATATTTTCTCTTGGTGTCTGCACGTGTTTCAGATTAATCCTTCAGATTAGGATTAATATTTTTTCAAAGCACCATGTTAACTCGGTTACAAGTATGCTGCCATTTGACAATGGTCGCATTTTAATGCTGGCATTGGCTTATGATGTTAAAACACAGGGGTGTTCATATCTGTAAGCAATAAGGGAAAAGAATAATTTGTTTTTTCCTTAGCATTACCTCTATCTTCAACTCTGTTCCTGAAGAAATCTTAACTTGGTAATACAGCAGGCTTTGGTTATAAGTGACAAAATGAATGGATCTTTGTGATTCTCATTCAATCCTGTTGACAGCAATACAAGGCTGTGCACACATCTGACTTGTTTGGCACTTCAGCCCCATGGCTTACCATGACTGATGCTCACATCTTTGAAGGTGCTTGAAACAGATCCCTGAAAACCATCCAGTTTTTCCTCAACAGTTTATGTGTTTGTGGTTACACTGAATAACTGTATTAGCTATTCCAAAAGCTCCAAGTCTTCCTAGAACTAGGAAATGTGGTGAAATAACTTCCTTCCACAGGTTCAGAAAAGTATGGTTTTGGGCTTGTGCACATTATTCTGCTCCATTACTTGCTACATAACTAGTGAACAATTCCAGTGTGACTTAATGAGGAGTGTGCTGGCTACACTTAGCTTGCTGTCACCTCACAGCTGTCATTAATAAGAGACATTTCCCATAGAGACTGCAAAATTCACTCTGTATTGTTCCATCTTTACTTACATTTTGTTCTCTTTGATTCAAGAATGTTGTTCTGCCATATCATATTGTCCGTTGGGACTCAAATCTATTTGAAACTGGAACTCTTGTATTTTGGAACATAAATACCCACTGCTCATTCTGAGCAATCAGCTGTGTAACTGAATGTTGTCTCAAATAATTTCTTTTCCCCACAGCCTTGCCCTATCTGCTAATGTTCACAGAATTGATCACTTTTGCCATGAAGACTCATGTACATTCTCTCAAGTTACAAGTAGATGGTTGCAGTTTATTACTTGAAATTCTTAGTCAAGGTAAGGTTATGAGACTTCCAACTTATGCTGGGTGATACAGCCCTTCTCTTGTAAAGTTAGATGTAGCAGATAAGGTTTGAAATGAGTTCAGTAATGATTTTAGAGAATAAATTTAAAGTAATAGAGGAATTTAACCAGCTTTAAGAGTCTGGATTCTCATGGACTTTCTTCAGGACTGGCATACATCAGTTGTATGTTAGTATTAATTTTAAATACAAGCTATTGATTTTAGGCTACCAAGTTTGTTTTGGTTGTATGTAGAGTGTTAACTAGGGTGTATAAATAAGACAGAAGTTTCTGGTATTTGAATTTAAAACCATAAAAGTATAGAATAGTTTTTGGTTTCTTGTGTGGTCCTTGCTGTCACTTCCTTTGCAACTTACCCCAACACCACCTGATAATGATACAAGCTTTAAAATAGTAAGAATTGTGTTTCAGAAAAAGAAAATGTAAAGTAACTTCTGGGTATGTTATGTGAAGAAATGCTGTTAATTGCATGTTTTACTTATGGTGACAGCAGGGGGTTCAGACTTTATTCCAAACCACTGAAATCTTTGTTCTAGTCAAATGTTTACTTTTGACACCTTTAGAACAGGATGTGGTGATGGCCCTGTATGAGAATGTGGCCAGCTCTCTGTTAGAGGCACTGAGAAAACACTCTGAAAATGAAGAGTTACTTTCGTTGGTCTGCACGTTACTGATGATGACTTCAGCCAGTGGTGGGTGACCTTGTTCATTTCTGGGGAATATTCTTATTTTTCTACTTTTATAATCTAATCCAAGATATAATGCAGAACTCATGACTTCACTGAAAGATGTGGATGTCTGTAGATATTAGTTTAATAATGGTAGTACTGGTAAGATAACACTTTCATATAAGATATGCTGATGAGGCTTCAGATGCTTACAGAATTGTATGTATTACAGTGGTTCTGTACTTAATCTTGTTTTGGAAACAAGTATGAACTGTGCTTCTGTGAAATAGTAGTTCTTGGGAAAATGAGGGCATAGAACTTGTGTTCTATTTTTGTCTGTGCCATGATGAATTGAAACCATTCTACCTAATTTCTCTACTTTGGTTTTTCTCCTGAGATTGTACTTGCTAAATATTTATAGTATTTTAAAATTGTTTTCAGTGTCAGTTCACAGCCATCAGAGGACTGTTTTTATAAATGGTTACAGAAGGATTGAGTAGCAAGGGGATAATCTTGAGGGGGGGGAAAAAGTACCAAGTGTCTTGTACAAATAAACTTACCATCTAAGACCAAACTGTTTTTATACAGTGTTCCTAATTCTGAAGCTGAGGCAGCTTGAATTGCTAAATTGCAAACACTTGAAAAATAGTAGTTTATGCCCTCTGAATTCCTTTTCTGCTCTGTATATTTTAGATCTGTAAGGGGAAAAGGATGACCAAACATCCGTTGGAAAGGGTCACTTGTGCTAAACGCACTGTTTAAGTGCATCTTGTTAAAGAACTCGGTCTGTTCTCTTGTTTTCTTTTGTCGAGCCTATGGTATCATGTTACTGCTTTGTTATCACTGTTTGAATATGGTTAGTAGTGCTGTCTGTTTCAAGAACAGTGAGTGGGACAAAAATACCAGATTCTATAGAATTTCTGTGTTATTTTTCAGAAGCTGCTGCGGAGAATCTAAGGAAAGCTGGAGTAATTCCAGACCTTCTGTCAGTTTTAAGAAATTTTCTTCATAATGAACAGATCTGCCTCTCTTGCTGTGGAGTTCTCTGGAGCTTGGCTGTGAGTGGTAAGTAGAACACAGCAAGTATTGTGCCTGGACTCATGACTGAAAGGCAGCAGGTATTGTGCCGAATTGAGTTCAGACATTCCTCTTGCTGGGGCTGGATTTTTGCTCTGTCTTCCATTCTGGAGAGATGTCTCCACAGCACTAGTAGAATAACTTGAAGTGATTCAGAGTTGAATGAGAGAAAACTAAAAACTAATGCAGGCTTTTTAGCAACCCTCTTTGTGATAAGGTGCCAAAGTCAAATCTTTACTGTTTAGACCAAGATACTGCTTATGAACAGGCTGTCAGAAATGAAGGAATACATGGAGCTTCTGGTTTGTCAGTCATGTGGTTTTCCTCTGTGCTTAGCAGAGGGAGTGCAGTGCAAACAGCATGTTAGATTAGGTATCAGAATAGCATTTGGAATTAATAGCATCTTATTTCTTTGCATCACACTTTTTTTTGTCAGCATTGGGCTAAATCTTAAATTGGATGTCTGCTAGAGACTTGCTTTTCCAAAAGAAATGGGATTGGCAAGGTGGCAAGTGTATTCTTCCCATTGCCCTAGAACTAAACCAGCATCATTCCATGGTGTTGGAGAGCCATGGATGATTGCTTGAGCTGACACTTTCCTATGAAACCACGCTCAGATTTTTTTAAGGAATTTGTTTCTGCAACATGTTCTTGTATAATAGGTGTGTGGTGTTCTAAGCAGCAGGGAAGGCTGAAGCACAGAATGTGCACAATTGCACTTGATGTGTTTTATTCCCTCTGTGCAGCAAACTGCCTATTTGATTTATGTGGCCAGCTAAATATCCATCCTGCAGACCACCTTCTGTCAAAAAGGTGGTTATTTTTGGAGGCTTCTTGTTGTGATCCTCATGTACAATTTAAATAGCAAAGAAAACTAGTTCCTGGAGAGGTTGAGCTTTCTGCAATAAACATTACTATTTATTAGTCTTGTAAAATTTTCTTTCTGTACACTTTAGATTACTTCCCTCTTTGTTGCAACCAAAATAATGTTACATTACTCCACTGCCATCACCCATTAAGGTTTTACTTGTATAATTTGACATACAATGTGCTTATGATATTATTACTTGATTAAATAACTCTGCTTGATGCATTTCCTTTTTGTTATGGTAATTCAGAGAATAATGTAGACCAAGCATTGCTGAGAAGTGCTGTCCCTGTTACCTCCGCGGTCCTTCAGGAGCACCTCCAGAATGGAACAGTGGCAGAGTCTGCCTGCTCAGCTCTATGGGCATTGTCACTCCAAGGTGTGTTTTCCCAGTCTCCTTGTCCCTTGTGCACAGAAAAGGCTAGTATGGCAAACACGTCTGTCAGTTGAAATACAGACTGCTTGACCTTAACAGGCTCTGCAGATGGCAGCAGAGTTAGAAACTTACATCCTCTCTTAACCAGTATTCCATGCACTTGCTCTTTAACGCTCCCTAATGAGCTATTTTTGATGAGTCATAGCAATTATATAACTAGATACTGCTGCTGGGCACTGTAACAATGGGCAGCCATAAGAACCTTGTTGTGTAGAGCATTCTCTCTGGTTTCTCTCTTAAGACCAAGAATCCCATTTGTGTTACTCCTTTGAACACAGCATTCAGCATTGTGCAGCATGGGCTGGAAGGTTTGTTTTTTATGTCATTTGCTTTGTAAATTGGAAGCAATATTTCAGATTGAAAAATAGCATTATCATCTGCACTAAGAAACCCATCCCTGCAGTACTACTGTGTCTTATTTCTTATGCAGGAATGTTGCCATATGTTTACGTACTGCCCTACACTTATGCCATTGTTCCACTAGGAAGAGCTGAGTAAAACACCCTAAGCAATCTCATTTCTAGTATCCACCTGCAGAATAGGTTGAGTATTCAGGATTTTCCATTCCTTTTGGGTTGGAGAATGAAAAGGAATCTTGACATAGGAGATTTATCAGAAATTTCTCCTAGACCTCTGGATCAACTCATGAGAAGACTTTATTGAGCCTTTTTAACTGCAATACAGGTTTTCACATAGTTTATTTGCAATTTTTATAGCATAATTAAAAAATCACTTCAGAAGCAGGAAGCGGAAGTTGAAATGCTGATGAGTGTTTTAAAGGCTTTTGAGTATATTGAAGTTTTGAGGTTTTGTGTGTGTGGCTTTTTTGTTTTGTTTTATAGGTTGCTTAACTGAAAATCAATGTGAGACTGCAACTGCACTTCTGCTGGATGCACTCAGGATAAACCCTGAAAGACCAGTGCTGGTGAATAATGCCTGCCTGGCATTAGCAAGCCTTCTAAGGCTATCTGGTAACATTCAGCAATTATTTGCTTATATTAATTGCAAATAATCTTGGAGGTGGCTATTTCTGTATAGTTCAAGAGTTCATAGTGGGATTGGGATTGACATCTGTTCTCCTGAGTTAATCTTTTCTTGCAGGACTGGAAGAGGAAATAGTGAAACTGGAGGTGCAAATTTGTTTCTTCCCATGGACCTAGCATGCATGTCTGAGAAGTCTTACATCAGCACAATCTGATCTATTAGTAACTGGAGAGAGTTTTATTACTTATTTTACAGTGGTTTCAACTGTTTAAAAGGGTAGAGCTCAATCAATGTGAAAACACTAAACCTGAAAATATTACTTGTGTCAACTGCATATAAGTTCTTCTACTTGTTGCCCAAATATGCTTCAGAATAGTTTTTAGGAAGGGTGAAAATAATGAATGTGACTTTCTGGAAAAATACTACATGTGTGCTAGCTGGCACAGGGGACTAGAAAGCAGTTAATGCAGTGTGCAGGTACCAATTAGCCCACCAGTGTTTCTCTCCCTTTCAGAAATAGCAGCTTTGAGATTTATAACTGATTCAAAAGGCAGTGGAATAAACCTGATCCAATATGCCTACCGCCTTCACTTTGATGATCCAGAAGTGGTGGAAAATATCTGTGTGCTGATCAATGAGATGGTTCAGTATGGTAAGGTGGTGGTGGTGTTTATCAAGTCTCTTTCTCTCCCAGAGCCCCAAAAGATAGTAAAGAAAACCCCAACAGCAGCTGCTCAGGGACATGTTAGTTGCTCTCAGGAAAGACTTACTATGTACCCGAGAAAGGAGGATGAATTGAAACTGAGAGTTCAGCCCACTTCTTGAATAATTATAAATGCTCCTGTGATGTTACAATTTCATCTTGCCTTCTGTTTGAGTAGATCTTGTCCCCTCTCTGCTGTCACCACTGGCAGTTGTAACCATAAATTATCCTGTTTGCTTAACATTACAGATGATGTTGTGCTGGATATGCTGTCCCAGAAAATGGAAGAATTGCTGTCTGAAATAAAAATCCGTTTTCCATCTAACGTGGTATGTAGAAGTCACTGCGATAATAAAGGGTGGATGCTTAGTATATTATTTCTGGTTATGGATTTTATCATTCTTAAATAGCTGGAATTACACAGTGCAGAAATTTACAGAATTATGGGTAGATGGGCTGAAGAGTGTTTGTAAGAATATTTCTAACTACTGAAACAAGCAGTTGAAAGGTTTTTTATTTATGCTGTAATGATTTAAAACTATGTTCTAGTCTCTTGCAACATTGCATTGCATTGATTTACTACATTCTTCATATTAAAACAAGCTAAAGTTTACAGGTCTAAAGCATAAGTGTATTACATCCAGTTATCTTTGCTCTAGAAGTGATATCCTTAGAAAAAAAACAAACAACAAAACCAACAAAACAAACCTTTGTGACAGTTTGCCTGAAGATGTAACTTACTAAATTCTGACAAGTAGTCATACTGAACAAATGTAACTGTTGAAACACCAGAAACAGCAAAGTTATTCAGGCTATTTAATGTGTTAACACTAATATTTCCTTTGCAATGGCTTGCTGTCAAGAAACCAGTCATTACAAGTTTTTTTCATCAAGCCAATAAAACTGGTTAGTCTTATAACTTTGCTCTTTTTTTAGTTATGCATTTAGCCTGCTTACATAATTTGTCTCAAAGACTGTTACACCCAGACTTGTTCTCCAGTGTCTCCTGCAGGCATTGGCTGTACCAATTTAATGGACACTGCAGCTATAAAGTAGTGCAGGAAAAAAGAATCATAAAAGAGAAGAAAGCTCCCTCTTCTGTTGTAAACCTAATTTGTTGTTCCCATGTCCCCCATTGACAGACAGCACAGACAAGGCCAGAACATTCTTATTCTGGCAATCAGTGTGCAACATGAAACTGCTAAATCTCCGAAATGTCCTCCTTGGTACCTCCCAGTATCCATTTAGAGTATTTAAATCACAGCATTAGTATTTAGTCTGGCCATTACATTTGCTTTGGATTTCGCAGAATCAGACCACAAGTGTTTAAAACACCACTCTAAAGACCTATGTTAGACACAGTGTTTTTATTAATAAACAAATATAAAAATAAGTGAAGCAACAATCTTGTATTTGACATTTCTCTCCAGGAGATAATGACCCTTGTGGATGCAACGCTTGTGAAACTGCGCAAGTAAAAGAAACTTCTCTTATAACAAGACTTGTACACTTCTTCAGATATAAAAGCTTGGATTCTCCAGAAATATTTTCAAATACTTCTCTTACCAGAAAGATTAATATTGGGCCATTAGTAATATAGAAACAGTTACATAGTTGGTTGATTTTGGTATCACAACTCTGAGACTAACAGCAATAACTAAGAATTCGCCTTACTTTGTAGACTTTAAAATATCTGAAATAAAGATTTTAGTCTTGGGAGCTTCAACAAAGCAATGACAGTTTCTTCCTTCCTCTATTGTAATTTAAAACCACTTTTTTAAACTTTGTGTGTATTTCCTTTGCAGAAATTTAACTGATGAAGTACTTGACAAATGCAGGCATTTGTTACAAGTATTGTTTAAACAGAGTAGTAGGCATTAAGCACAGGCACCATCCAGAAAGGGGATACTAGTAATATTCTTGTAGGGCAGCATTCACACAGTGGGTTAGGAATTACTGTCTTTTGTTTGATTTTACAAAGTAGCTGCTGTCAGTTCTGAGTTCTCTCTAAATCTGCCCTGGAATGTGACATGAAACCAGCAACTGCTGCTTATAAAAACACAGGGTAGAATCATTCAAGTTTTACAATTTTTGTTGTTAGATTTGTTCTTAATACCGGCTTCCCATTTCTTTTTCTCTAAGGTGTACAGTCTCATAGCTGCTTGTGCATCTTGAACCTAAAAGAGCAGAACAAACAAGAGGCTTAATGAAACATAGCTGACATGGTTTAAGAACATTATTGTTAATAAGCAGCTAAATCTTGAATCACTTTAATACATCCTTTTAATTAACATTTCATAATCTTTTTCTAGATTTAGGTTCTGTGACTAGTGGAGGGGGATAAATATGTATTCAGAATGCATGGCCCACCACAAGGCTATGCACTTCTCTTTCTGATTGTGACTTGGAAAGCCGTAATGAAAAAATATTGATACAGTGCCTTGGAGATACTCTCACAATTTGCCCTACTGCTTCAGTTCATTCGTCTATTATATCCCTCAGTCCACTGAAAGAAAGGAACTAACTGCTGAGATTCAGCAGTAGGGTCTCACTATTTTACCCAACCCACCAGAGTACAACAGTCCAGAATACAGAATACTGCTTTTAAGGTAAGCAGTCAGTATTTGAGAATTACTTTTTTCCCCTGGGGATCTTAAAATAACAAGAATTAATATTTAAACAAAATAGAGTTGACTTGTGCAAAAGAAGTTTATGAAAATAAGGAAATAATCCAAGTGGTATGAGACATGGAATAGTAAGCAAGCTTAGATGACAATCTTACTGCATGCTTGTGTCTGAGCAGAGCTTGCTGACTTTAAGTGAGAGGGCAGAATGAAGCCACAGCATTCTGCATTGAACCCAGACCCTAGAGCTAATGTGTAGTTCCTTGTTGATCTACCCAAAAATGTATGTTCTGAGATACATACCGAGCAGTGCTCTGATGTCTGCACTTGCACATTCAGCAGTCTCTCACAGAGCAGTTTCAGTGATGGCCGTCCACTCTAGAAACAGAAGACAGAATCATGCTGTCTCACACTACTTTAAATATACATATATAGATGTGTATATATATATATAAAAAAATACTAGTTTAAGTGTATTCCTCAATAAAGTATAGCAGATCTTATCTACTGGTGAACTGTCAAGAATAATTAATGAATGATGAGATTTATGTGTGCACTGCTGCAAGGATTTTATGTGTGTTACTATAACCCTGAGATTTGTTTGGGGTGCTTTGTTGTGAAAAAGAAAACCTGAGTATTTATTTATGAAACTTAAAGTATTTCCCTGTAATCTGAACCTTTACTTCTGCAGTCTAAGCAGAAACTTGAAGCCATCTATTTTTTTTTATATCCCTATGGAAATGATACCATTAAGAAGATTGCCTTACTGTAAGTAGAACTACCATCTTATTCTGCTATCCGGAAATGCATTATGGAGACCATACACATGCTGAAGAATGGGAGAGCCACTAAACTTGGTGCACAGGTATCACTGGTAGTGTTTGTACTGAACTGTTTGTAAGTAACTTACTGATATATTTCAAACACTAAGGAAGCATTCAACTGGAACTTTTTATTTCCAAACTACAAAAAGCAGGCATCCCTGCTTCAGGTAGAAAGGAAGGAACGGGGTCAGGTAGGGACAAATGTAAGGAGGAGAGAGCTAGCAGCTGGGTGCCAGCAGCTTGACAGTCAGGTTAATTGAGATGCACCTTCCAGTCAGTTTCTTACCTTGACTCTCTGTCTGAAAGGCTTGTATCTTTGTGTGTCACGTATTTTCTTCTTAGGATGATCAAGAAATAGGACCTAGAAGAAATTACATTTCCAGTCCAAAGTGTGCTGTTGCATGGAAATTTATACAGCTGCATGTGCAGCTTCCTGCTCTTTCCTTCCATCTGTTACAAGAGAGAGTTCAAAACCATGAATGGACAAGGCCAAGATCATCCAGACACTGGCTGGATTCAAGTAAGAGAAACAGAACTGAATCTGGAGGTACTACCTGCAGTGCTGGTACAACATGACATAAGATCTGTCTCTGGTAACGATGACCACACTGCTGAGCTTTGGGGACTAAGCAAAGCATGAAAACAGTTTTTTATCATTCTGTTTCTTTCCTGGCTCTTTAGTAGGCAGATCAGTGCTATTAGCAACAGAATTTAGAAGCTGAAGAACTTTAATGAACGAGTGATTAAGGGCTACAATTGTTGCAGCATGAAATGACAAGAAACTTCGATAACAGTGATAAAGCTGTAGTTCCGAGGAGTTCAGGTGTGTTCATCTGATCCAGAATGATGTATTAGAAATTTAATCAGTCTTAAATTTTTGGAGCCTTGTCCTCAAAAAACAAACGAGCAGCCACATACCTTTAGATCATTGCGTAAAGCATGTCCAACTAAAATCCTTCCATTCAAGATGTCAGCAACTTCCTTCTGAACTGTTTTAAAATCTTCACCTAAAAATACCACACAAGGAAACACTTTCCATTAGATACAGAAGACAACTAAGCAAGCTACAATTAAAACACATCTTTTCTGTGAAAGCAATTGTGTCCTTGGGACTGCAGTTAAACAAATTTGTACAGTATGCTAAATCTTCTGCTTGTTAGAAAAGCATAGAGAATTCCATAAAGAGCATAGCACTAAAAGGAAATAAACTTCCTATCGTTCCCATAACATAATCCACAAGTTAATTTCTTCTAGGGCATTAGTGACCACTCTGTAAAAGTACTTCTTCAGACTACTTTTTAAAATTTTTTTTTAGCATTTCCCAAAATAAGTCTAAAACTTTTGCAAGCTCAGACAATGAGGCTTCTGTGATGGCCTGTTAAATTTTCCCTCCTTAAAGAATAACATGGGGGGGGGAAAACCTCCTACCTGTATTTATATTCTCAGGGCGTATGCCACTAACAGCTGTTCTGTAATCAGTCACCTTTTCTGTAGGCTTGACATACTTGTCATAAATGCACTTTCCAAATTGGTTCACAATGGACACACGAGCCACAATACTGTCTTCACCCTTGGGTCCCACTCCCACCATCTCACAGTCCATGGCTACAGCTCGTGTCAGCCTAAAAGACAAAAGACAGCTTGGCGACACATCTGTTACAGGGACTGCATAGTGGAGTTCACAAAGTTCACCTGTTGATATGAACAGGGTAAACTCAGCAGTTGGTCTGTCACCAGACCCAGGGAGATGTCAGCTTATGCTGTGCACCTGCAAATCACAGTTATTAGAAGATAATCTCGATGCCTCTGCTGCCATCCTTCCTGCTGGAATGCCACTCACCCTTCAGAAGCCTTTTCTTTAACCAGCACCTGCTCCACAGACTGTCTGGATTGGCCTGTGTCAAGTCCCATGTTTCTTCTAGCAATTTTTGCTGCTTCAGGTCCTATTGCTGCTTCAATATCTTTTGGATCAACGTCATCGAACCAGATTTCAGGCCTGGTAAGTACAGATTTAATTACATTTAATGGTCTTAAAGCAGTTTTGCATCTTTATAGTGTAGAAAAAGCATATTTTTTAAATCAAGAGATAAGCTCCATGAAAGTTAGTCTAGTGCTGTCACCTATGCAGGTTTGCTATATTTGAGGAGTAGGAGTAGCATGTGTTTTATTTCTCCCAAAACGTAGTATGGAAGAGTGCAGCTGTTTTGAATGTTCTCCTCTGTGCTCTTTATGTACACCTCCCAACATAAACTCACGTACATGTATGATGCCTGAAGTACTCACTCTTTGGGTTGCTGCTCCACCTCCACATGTTCTTCAGCTTTCCTCCTCTTATGTTTTATGTCACCTTTCTCCTTTACAATATTGCTATTTTTCTTTTTTTCTTTGCAGCCTTTTCCATCATTTTTGGTGCCATTTAAATTCTTATCTGTTGTAACCCTCTTGGATTTTTGCTTAGCCGAAGGAGGATTATCTTTAGCAGAACCACTGTCTGTTTTATTTGTGGATTTAGCCTTTACCACATTCATGTTTCCGTTGATAGCTGGGACTTGGCTTTTTCTGGCTTTGAATGGATGCTTCTTTTTGGTGTATTGTTGACACGTAGAGAGGGACTCGTTGGAACTATTTGCCTTTTGTTTCAGTAGCTAAAATGATAAAAAAACCCAAAACAAATAAAGGCGAGGGGGGAATTATTATCTCCCTCTATTTCTCAGCTGGTGTTTTGCCTCAGTGCTAAGTGGCCCCGCACTCTCTAGCTCTAGGGAAATTGCCTGCAGCAGGACGTTCCCGATCCCTGCCCGCAGCACTTTTTGTTGACACAAAGATTATTATTTTTTTATAATTGCTACATACAAAGTGGGACAGCATGCAGGGAACGGCAGCGTGGCTCCGGCCCGCCCCGGGCGGCTTCCCCAGCCCAAACCCCCGGGGATGGCTCCGGCTGGCCCCAGGCGCGTCCCCCCGCTCCCCTCACCTCCT